GGTCTGCATCCTTCTTTTCGGGTCTGGCTATATTCAATGGAATCCATGTAAACCTGTCTTGTGCGGTGTTATGATGGATCTTGGCGACCAGACAGAGGGCTGCGTCTTCGAGACCATATCCGGACACAAGTTCAAGCATCTAATCGACACCATGCTGCTTGCACGTGTCTGAAGCCAATTCTGCATTGCATCGATCGACATGTAAAAGTTTGGTGGCCAATGAATCGGCGACCGCCCAATGTCAATTCGTTTTTAGCGGTAGTTCGTTCGCATGTCGAAGTATTACTCAGACGGCGCGTCTTCAACATGGCGATCATCGTTGATAGTCTCTCGCGGCCGAAGCAGCATCAGATCCGTCGAGAGCCGTCCCAAATACGGGCTTCTATAGGCATCACCACCGCCTCAGATATCAGTTGAACTCCTATTGGTACGTTATGGTGTGTTGTCGGCCGTGTAGGACCCAACGCGGCTCGAGGTGGTAGCGCGGTGGGCGGGTTGCCTCTACATAGTACACTTGGGTCGTCCGTTCGCGACGCTCACCTGAAAATCGGTCGTTACGAACGTTTGCCGCGAGTCTCGTACTCCATGACTTTGCAACTGTGGCCGTGTGTACCGGTAGCAGCGGCAGATGGAGCTGGGAATCATCCGCAGTCCGCAACTGAAATACGACTGTTTCCGAAATATCGTACTCAAGGACGGCATCACCATTCCGTGTGCCTACCCACGGAAATGGAACGACGCCAGATGTTGAGATGAATACCAGACCGGCACGCATACTGTATATACAACGTACTGCTGGGAAGATCGCGAGACAGGCGTCTGGGTCGGCTAGAAACACCCCCATTGGTTCTTGTTAGACTTTCGAGCCATATGACGCCCCCTGAGTCTGGTATGTCTTCTTCGAGGCAATTCAGCATGGAGTGAGCCTTGGAAGGCGGGGCTAGAAGCGTTGCTTGAAGGCGGAAGCTGGGAACGGCATAGAAGAGTAAGGCGGATAAGGAAGTCGAGTAAACTCTGCTTAGGAAACCAAGTAAGAGCCGTTGCAAATTGCTGACCATCCCAACGCCCAGAAACCTTCCTGAAAGTGCGAGAGCGAATTTGAGATCGCATATCGAATCACAGGGCTGCTAGGTGCCTTGCAGCATAGTAGACCGCAGACCGTAGACTGCAGGTCGCATCGGGAATTGTCTAAGTCCTAAAGTCCTTGGTCAAGACATGTGACAAATTGGATATCCACAGAAAACAAAAGAAAATCGTCGCGTAGAGACCCGAGCTGTGGGATAGTTGTGCTTTGATGCCGTTGGCCGTGGCCGTGGCCGTGGCCGTTGCTGTTGGAACGCTGTGTCGGGATCCGCTTGCGGCTTCTAAGCACTTCTGGAAGAAAGAGACAGGCCGTCGCCGGTGCTAAGAGTTCTGATGCACAATTAAGGTGCTTCAAGAGAATCGCACTCCAGAGCGAAGGGCCCAAGACAGAGAAACCGGACAGGGTGTGAGGTGCGAGGGTGCTGATGCGATGTCTGTTGTGTCAATGTGCCGCTTTGCAACCCAATGTTTCTGTATGGCACCCAAGGGGGGACGGTCTTCGGACGAAAACCGAATTTCCCCTTCAGTGTTGCAGTATAGCGCAATGTTGGACACAGTTGGCGGCGAACGATGGTTGTTTAGTTTGGTGAACGTATGGTCTCGTCTTGCGAGGACAGGCAAGATTAGGAGAGGAGAAGAGAGAGGGTGTGTTTCTGTCAGTGTCTGTTCCGAATTCTGCCCGTCTTTTGGCCATCTCCCGCTACTGGTGCCGGGGGCTTATCGTGCATTGGGTGAAAGCAAGTAATCGAGTACGCGCATGTGTCGGGTGATGGAAGTTATTTGTCTCCGCCTTGCGTTGGCGTCAGATGCAGCGGAAAAAAAAAGGACGACGCGGACGTGGACGTGGATGTCTGTTGGTCGTGTTGATTCGAAATCACAAGAGGCATGGCGGTCCATGGTATAGCATGGCAGGGCCATGGCGGGAAGTGGCGTGTAGGAGAATACGTTGGTACCTAGCTGGTGCCGTAGGTAAGGTATTTTTGCAAAGATGGAAGTGAGGAACGATACGATCGACGTTGCCGCCAACTAAGGCGAGGTAAGGTACCTTGGTCTGTCCAGACGGCTCCAGATAATAGGAATAAGCGCAAGGAGAAACGGAGCCAAGCAGGACCCCTTGCCTTGGCACGATACCTTAACAAGCTTAGATGCGGAAAGGGGAACGAGAGTCCTGTGTGCTGTGTGCTGTCCTAGGCGGTACGGGGACTAGCCTTCGTCCGTGTACGAAGTAGATATTTCCGTACCTTGCGTTAGAGCATCGCGCCTGGGACGGAACCTAGGGCCGTTAAGGTAAGAAACAGAGAGGCAAAAGGGGATCTTTCCCGGAACATCCATGGGCCGCAATGCGCCGTGGCTTTCTCTAACCTCCGGTCGTCTTAGTGTCGAGTCGTTGAGATATCCAGGTGCCATAGACGAGAGCACGTACAACGCGAGGGCAGCTACTTTTCCCCCTTTACTTTCCGCTTTGTACTTGAGCCTCCTTCTTAGTCTTCCTGACTTAGTAATTATGGCCTCCTCTACCGTCCCGTCTGTCTATGCTCTGCAGATGCACCTGAAGACAAATCGAGGAACATAATGATGATGATGGGAAGAACCTTGGGAAGCACGTAGTAATCATTGGGGCTACCCTTGCTGCACTCGGTACGTACCGCATCCTCCGGCCAGTAGGGAGAGCCCACTTTCCTACCCGGGCAAGTACAAGGAAGAAAGTACTGATCCACACGGATTCCGCAGGCTTACCCGCTTTCTTTTCCGAAAAGATACTTCGGCATTCCGTATCCCTGCGCCGGATTCCACAGATTGGGCTCCATTCTGTTTTGCCGTGGCCCGAGACCCACCACGCGTCTAATCGGAGGGGCACTGTGGAGCTGTGGATTGCCCTGAGGTCCACAGAGGTCCACAGTGCTGTGGTGCCCTGTCCACCGAGTATTCGTACCTACCGGAAAGAAAGAATCCAATGGCAAGAAGAGGCGACGTCAATCCCGTTCCGACACCCGTCATCTCACTCTCAAGTTTCTCCGACCTTCAACATCATCCCTCAATTTGCTGCCATCTACACATCAACCACGGCATCAACTGGCAGTCCGTCAGCAACGTTCATCGCCCACAATTCGAATCCTGCCATCATTCCCCTTTTCACGCCAAAAAATCATGATCGTCCATGGACCGTAAGCTGTCTGTGGAGGGGGGCGTGTGGTGTGTCGGTTTGGTTTCTATCTCTGGGTTCATCTCGCTTTGGCAATGTCCTTGGGGATGTCCGTCGGACAAAGCGTCACCCCCACAACCCACTACCCTCGACCGCTTCGACCAACATCCCACCGCCAACAAACCCGACTCCCGTCCGACTCACTTCACCCTGTACATCTGTTTACCAATCCTAGAAACCGCCGGCCATGTCTGGGAATCAAACAGGCTTCTCGCCCTGATTCTGCCCGTTGCCCCCGTGCGGATTCCGGACCCCCCGCTGTGTGAGGACCGATGGCAGCGCCCGTCTTCCCGTTCATCGCACTCAGGCTCGTATTTGCGGAGTTTCACCCGGCCGCTTTTGCTGGTGCGGTACCTTATCCTGCTGCGCTGCGTGGCCGTGTTTCGCATCTCTGTACAGCTTACCCTCTTCAGCAACTTCGGCACCTCTCTTCGTCCAAGTGCAAGTGCACCTTGGAAGTGGTCCGGTCTCCATGTCCACTTCCCCTGCCGCCAACAGCATTCGTCCTGGTAGACGCCTTTTCGAGAAGCATCGAGAGCACCCTCCCTCTACCCAGCGACAGCACACCACACACGGCCGGCACTTAGCTGTCCCTAATCCATCTGTCGTCTTTCTCAGACCCGTTTCACCCCATGCGATCCTCCTATGGCTGTCATCGTCTCGGAGATCGAAACTTGTTACCGCTCAACTACTGCCATACTAGGACCATCGAAACTCGTCTTGTTAGGCAGCCCGTTGTATCGCTGCTTCGCCCGCCTAACACCTGCCTTATCCAGCCCATGTCTGCGGTCTGTCTGCTTCACAACATACACCGTTGGCCCTGGGCTCCTGGCCACCAGGCCACCTGCGATCGCTTGTACCATCACGTCATGTCTTGTCCACTTGGCCTTGACAAGCATCACGGACATGTGCCCAGTTACTGCTTACTTCCAAGCACAGTCCTAGATGCGCGCTGTCAAGAAACCCCGATACCTGAGTACAACTCCATTCCGAGATCCACGCGCCCGCTCTCCCTGGGCTCCTTCGTACTACTCGACCGGGCGTGTGCGCCTGTGGACTCGAGAGCATGCGTGAGAGATATGGGCAGAATGAGTGAGCAGAGCCGTGTGTTTCTGCCCTGCCGCGCCCGAATTACTGCGCTGCCGCGTATTTTTGGTCCTTTCGTCGTCTGTCCGCTTGTCCGTCCTCTCCTCAGCACAGAGGAGCCGGCGCAAGGAAGCCCGTGTGGCGGCCTCGATCGCTTGTCCTGAACCAATGGGCCTCGACCGATGCGGCAAGACAGCGAAAATCATCCATCAGCTTCGGTCACCGAGGAATCTCAGGGCCGGACTCACGCTATCCACCCGGGCAAGAAAAGGATGAGCCAAGTAGTAGTGCAGGCACCAAGGGAAGGGGGTGCAGGGGGGCGTGCGGCTACATGGGACGTCTTCCACCGCACCACACCACACCACACACCCCCCTTCACTTCACTCCCTCTACCCAGCATGTGTTCCATGTTGCAATTCCGCTATCCATCAGCCATGACATTGACAGCTGGGTCGATTATTTCGGGAGGAGGCCCGTTGTTGGCTTTGATGTGGTGTGCACACCCGCTTGCATCGAGCATCTCTTTCATATAAGTTCGAGACTCGCTCCCCGGCATCTAGCAATCTTATCCTGACTGGCACACCAAACCCTCAACACCTAAGGAAATCTATGTCGACAACCTTTCAAGATGGCCGACAAGATGTCTTATCTCCTCTTCGGAGATCAGTCTCTTGATACCCATGGATTTCTCGCCGAGTTCTGCCGCCAAGGAAATCCGAGCATCCTCGCGAAGACGTTCCTCGAGCAGGCTGGCCAGGCTTTGAGGGAGGAGATCGATTGTTTGGGAAAGTTGGAAAGGTCGAAGCTTCCCACCTTCATGACCCTCCGTCAACTCAACGAACGATACCACGCCCAGAGCATCAAGCACCCTGGCGTCGACAGTGCCTTGCTATGCGTCACCCAACTGGCTCACTACATCGAGTACGTCGGCCCGCAGCCCTGCCTCACAGCCGCTACCGCGATATCCTCGGCGTGTTGTGAGGTCAAACTCTTGAGGACTACTCACTAACAAGCTCACAGCCGCACCGAGAAGGAGCCTCAAGATGTCTGCGTTCACGACCACACTTTCTTCATGGGTCTTTGCACGGGGCTTTTCGCCGCCGCCGCCATCGCCTCGACCCCCTCAGTCTCTACCTTGATACCCCTTGCCGTTCAGGTAGTCCTCATGGCCTTCAGAACTGGCTCACACGTCGGTTCGTTGGCTGAGAGGCTCAGCCCGCCGGTCGGTCAATCTGAACCCTGGACCCATATCCTTCCTGGCTTGAAGGAAGTCGATGCCAAAGAGGCACTATTTAATTTCCATGAATCTAATGTAAGGAACTGCGAATCTTTACGACTAAACGCAAAGTCTAACGCTCTACAGTACATCCCCGTCGCCAGCCAAGCATACGTTAGCGCTGTGTCGGCATCGAGTCTGGCCATCTCTGGACCGCCAGCAACTCTGAAGGCTCTCGACGACCAGAACGTCTTCGGCGTCAAGTCGACGGCGATCCCAGTCTACGGCCCCTACCACGCATCTCACCTGCACGGTACTGCCGATGTCGAGAAGATCCTCCGCCTTAACGACCCCAAGGTCGCCGAGATTTTGGCTAACACCAAGCCTCGTTCCGCCATCATGTCTGGCACCAAGGGCATCTGGTTCGCCGAGACCGATACCAAGTCCTTGTTCAAGGCTGTCGCCCACGAGTGCCTCGTCGATGTTCTCCAATTCCAGAAGGGCATCGAGGGCTGCATCGAGACCGCCCGCGATTTTGAGGGATCAACATGCCTCGTCATTCCCTTCGGACCCACACACAACGCCGAGACTCTCCAAAAACTCATTAAGGACAAGACTCAGCTTGAGGTCGTCGTCCGCCCAGGACCCAAGATCACAAGGGAAAGCATCAACTCCAACATTGGAAACCACGGTTCTAACGGAAAGTGTAAGCTGGCCATTGTTGGTATGGCTGGTCGCTTCCCCGACGCTGCCAGTCACGAGAAGCTGTGGGAGCTTCTTGCCAAGGGTCTGGATGTCCACAGAGTCGTCCCTGCCGACCGTTTCCCCGTGGCAACTCACTACGACATTACTGGCAAGGCCATCAACACCAGTCACTCCCAGTACGGATGCTGGATTGAGAACCCTGGTTACTTCGACCCCAGATTCTTCAACATGTCTCCTCGTGAGGCGTTCCAGACCGATCCCATGCAACGTATGGCTTTGACCACTGCCTACGAGGCGCTCGAGATGTGCGGTTACGTCCCTAACAGGACACCGTCAACAAGACTGGACCGTATCGGTACTTTCTACGGTCAGACTTCCGACGATTGGCGTGAAATCAACGCCGCGCAGGAGGTCGATACCTACTACATCACGGGTGGTGTCCGCGCTTTCGGCCCCGGACGTATCAACTACCACTTCGGTTTCAGTGGACCCAGTCTGAACATCGACACGGCCTGCTCATCCAGTGCTGCTGCCATGAACGTTGCTTGCAACTCTCTGTGGCAGAAGGACTGTGACACCGCGATTGTTGGTGGTCTGTCTTGCATGACGAACCCCGATATTTTCGCTGGTCTGAGTCGTGGCCAGTTCTTGTCCAAGACTGGACCTTGCGCCACCTTCGATAACGGTGCTGACGGTTACTGCCGTGCTGATGGCTGTGCTTCAGTCATCGTTAAGCGCCTCGACGACGCTATCGCCGACAAGGACAATGTTCTTGCGGTGATTTTGGGCACGGCCACCAACCACTCGGCCGATGCCATCTCTATCACTCACCCTCACGGTCCGACCCAGTCCATCCTTTCGAGCGCTATTCTCGACGATGCTGGTGTTGATCCTCTCGACGTTGACTACGTGGAGATGCACGGTACCGGTACTCAGGCTGGTGACGGCACTGAGATGGTGTCCGTCACTAACGTCTTCGCTCCTGCCGACCGTAAGAGACCTGCCGACCGCCCTCTGTACCTTGGTGCCATCAAGTCCAACGTTGGACACGGTGAGGCTGCTTCGGGTGTCACTGCCCTCTGCAAGGTCCTCATGATGATGCAGAAGAACGCTATCCCGCCCCACGTTGGTATTAAGAAGGAGATCAACAAGACCTTCCCCAAGGACTTGTCGGAGCGCAACGTCAACATTGCCTTCCACATGACCCCCTTCAAGAGGAGAGATGGCAAGCCCAGACGTATCTTCGTCAACAACTTCAGTGCTGCCGGTGGTAACACTGGTCTGTTGCTGGAGGATGCTCCCCAGCTCCAGTCTGCGGAGGTCGACCCTCGCAACGTCCAGGTCATTACCGTGACTGGAAAGTCTAAGGCTGCCATGATCCGCAACGCCGAGAGACTTGTGGCCTGGATGGAGCAGAACCCTCAGACTCCTCTGTCGCACGTGGCTTACACCACCACTGCCCGTCGCATCCAGCACTACTGGCGCATGAACGTCGCCGCCTCTGATATTCCGGAGGCTCAGCGTCTCATCAAGGACAGACTCAAGGAGAACTTCAGCCCCATCTCCACTCAGCAGCCCAAGGTTGCCTTCATGTTCACTGGACAGGGTTCTCACTACGCCGGCCTCGGCAAGGACCTTTACACGCACTACCGCGTGTTCCGTGAGAGCATTGAGGAGTTCAACCAGCTTGCTCAGATCCATGGCTTCCCCAGCTTCCTGCCTCTGATTGATGGCAGCGAGCCCGATGTCACCAAGCTGTCTCCGGTCGTTGTCCAGCTTGGACTCTGCTGCTTCGAGATGGCTCTTGCGCGTCTGTGGGCTTCCTGGGGTATCCGCCCTGCCGCTGTCATGGGTCACTCTCTTGGCGAGTACGCTGCTCTCAACGCGGCTGGTGTCCTGTCTGCCAGCGACACCATCTACCTCGTCGGAGCCCGTGCTCAACTCCTCGTCGAGAAGTGTACTGCCGGCACCCACGCCATGCTTGCCGTCACCGGCCCTGTCGACGTTGTCATGGAGGCTCTTGGCTCTCAGGCCGAGTCTGTCAACGTGGCTTGCATCAACGGCCCCCGCGAGACCGTTCTCGCCGGAGCTGCCGCCAAGATCACCGAGATCTCTTCTCACCTTGGCACCGCTGGCTTCAAGTGCACTCAGCTCAAGGTGCCCTTCGCTTTCCACTCTGGCCAGGTTGATGCTATCCTGGACGACTTCGAGACTCTCGCCCGCTCTGTGAGCTTCGAGAGGCCTCAGGTCCCCATCATCTCTCCCCTCCTCGGAAAGATGGTCGAAAGCGAGCCTATCAACGCTGCCTACCTCCGCAACCACGCTCGCGACGCCGTCAACTTCCTTGGCGGTCTCGTCCACGCACAGCAGTCCGGCTCCATCGATGAGAAGACCGTTTTCCTTGAGATTGGCCCCCACCCCGTCTGTGCCAACTTTGTCAAGTCTTCGTTTGGCATTAGCTCTGTGGCTGTACCTACTCTCCGCCGCAATGAGTCTACCTACAAGGTTCTCAGCAACACCATGTGCACTCTTCACACTGCTGGTCTCAACCTGGACTGGGATGAGTTCCACCGCGACTTCAGCGACTGCACTCGTCTCCTGGATCTTCCCACTTACTCCTTCGATGAGAAGAACTACTGGCTCCAGTACACCGGCGACTGGTGCCTTACCAAGAACCGTGGCCCGGCTGCCGTCAAGGCCCCTCTCCAGATTGAGCCCGCGAAGCCCAAGCTGTCCACCACCTCTGTCCACGCCATTACCAACGAGGACATCAACGGTGACATTGCCATCATTCACACTGAGACCAACCTGTCTCGTCCCGACACTAGACCTTTGGTCGAGGGTCACTTGTGCAATGGTGCGCCTTTGTGCCCCTCAACCTTGTACGCCGACATGGCCATGACCATTTGCGACTACGCCTACAAGACGCTGCGACCTGGCACTGAGAACATCGGTCTCAACGTTGCCAATGTCGAGGTTCCTAAGACTCTCATCTTCGATGAGAAGCTTGATGCTCACATTCTCCGCACCACGGTCACTGCCAATGCTGCCCTTGGCTACGCCGATGTCAGCTTCCACACTGGTGAGGGTTCAAAGAAGGTCGAGCATGCGCACTGCAAGGTCGTCTACGGCAACACTGAGCAGTGGGCTGATGAGTTCGAGCGTGTCACCTACTTGATCAAGGGCCGTGTCGACGCCCTCGAGGAGGCTGAGCGCCAGGGCAAGGCTTCTAAGATTGGCCGTGGCTTGGCATACAAGCTGTTCTGTTCTCTCGTCGACTACGACCCCAAGTACCAGGGCATGGAGGAGGTTATCTTGGACAGCAAGACCTGTGAGGCTACTGCCAAGGTCACCTTCCAGACTACTGAGAAGGACGGAAGCTTCTTCTTCAACCCTTACTGGATTGACTCTTGCTGCCACATTTCTGGCTTCATCATCAACGGTACCGATGCCGTTGACTCTCGCGAGCAAGTCTTCATCTCTCACGGCTGGGGATCTCTCCGATTCACCGAGAAGCTTGACCCCAAGAAGTCTTACCGCTCTTACATCCGTATGCAGCCGGTCAAGGGTACCAAGATGATGGCTGGTGATGCTTACGTCTTCGACGGCGACCGCATCATCGGTGTCGCTGGTGACGTCAAGTTCGCCTCCATTCCTCGCAAGGTCCTCAACATGGTTCTGCCGCCCCGTGGTCGCGCTCTCGCTGGCGCTGCCCCCGCCCCTGCTGCCGCCGCGGCCAAGGCTGCTCCCGTCAAGGCCGCTCCTAAGGAGAAGGCAGGCAAGGAGAAGGGTTCCAAGCAAGTCACCGCTAGCAACCTCAAGACCGTTAATGCCAAGCTTGCTAAGCGGTCTGTTGTCCAAGAAGTCTTCGACATTTTGGCTAAGGAGGTTGGTGTCACCCATGACGAGCTTGCCGACAACATCGCTTTCACCGATTTGGGTTGCGACTCGTTGATGGCTTTGACCGTCTCCGGCAGAATGCGTGAGGAGATGGATATTGACATCGACTCCCACGCCTTCGTCGAGTACCCCACGATCGGTGCGTTCAAGGCGTTCCTCGCCCAGTTCGAGACGGCTGGTGGCAAGGACAACTACGTCCAGGACTCTGGCGACTCCAGTGGCTCAGTGTCTGAAACTCCTGAGCTTGAGTCTGACTCGAACGTGACTACTCCTTACGAGGAGAGCGACCGGTCAGTCAAGGGCGAGGGTGATGAGGATTGCGGTGATCTCCAGAACATCCTCCGCGACACCATTGCCACTGAGATGGGTGTCGAGGTTGATGAGATCGTCGCCGCTCCTGATCTGGCCGCCCTGGGTATGGACTCTCTCATGAGCTTGTCCATTCTGGGTACTCTCCGTGAGAAGTCAGGTATGGATATCCCCAATGACCTCTTCGTCACCAACCCTTCTCTGCTTGAGGTTGAGAAGGCTTTGGGTATCGGCCCGAAGCCCAAGCCCGCTGCCGCGCCGAAGCCTGCCAAGACTTCTGCGCCTAGACGCGAGCCGAAGGTCCAGCCCACCAAGGAGATCAACACTCACCCGGGCAACACGACTGCTTCTATCACCAAGCCGCCCCCACCCAAGGAGATTATCGACAACTACCCTCACCGCAAGGCGACATCCATCCTTCTCCAAGGCAGCACTCGCACCGCTACCAAGAACCTGTGGATGGTACCTGACGGCTCCGGCTGTGCTACCTCTTACACCGAGATCAGCCAGGTCTCTTCCGACTGGGCCGTCTGGGGTCTTTTCTCTCCCTTCATGAAGACCCCTGAGGAGTACAAGTGTGGTGTCTACGGCATGGCCGCGAAGTTCATCGAGGCCATGAAGGCCCGTCAGGCTAAGGGTCCTTACTCCCTGGCCGGTTGGTCCGCCGGTGGTGTTATTGCCTACGAGATCGTCAACCAGCTCACCAAGGCTGGAGAGACTGTGGACAACCTCATCATCATCGATGCCCCCTGCCCTATCACCATCGAGCCTCTTCCCAAGAGCCTCCACGCCTGGTTCGCCGAGATCGGCCTCCTCGGCGAGGGTGACGACGAGGCAGCCAAGAAGATCCCATCTTGGCTCCTTCCCCACTTCGCCGCCAGTGTCACTGCCTTGAGCAACTACACCGCGGAGCCTATCCCCAAGGATAAGTGCCCCAACGTGATGGCTATCTGGTGTGAGGATGGTGTTTGCCATCTCCCTACCGATCCTCGCCCGGATCCTTACCCCACGGGCCACGCACTCTTCCTCCTGGACAACAGGACTGACTTCGGTCCTAACCGTTGGGACGAGTACCTCGACATCAACAAGTTCAGAACCAGGCATATGCCCGGTAACCACTTCTCCATGATGCATGGCGACTACGTAAGTCTACGCTCCTCACCCACAACACAACACCAACTAACTCTTCTTCAGGCCAAGGCTCTTGGACAGTTCATTCGTGAGGCGGTTTGCGAGTAAGGAAAACACATAGCGAATGCATACGAGCACACGCATTGCAGGTCATAGAAGGGACACAGGACATTACATGATATGCGAGCATGGATATGAGACTGCTTTATTTTTCTTGATCATTGTTTTTTCTTTCTATCATCTTGTCATCATCTTTTCTTTTCCATCCTGTCTTAACATTGATATCCGCTCCCTGTACAAGTGCGATAGCATACAAAAACCACCTCACAACGAATCATTCCTTATTTTCTCATGGTCGGCGGCGACGGAACTGGAAAGGGAGGAATAGGACACTTGGGCGTTGTTTTATCCTGGGCTTGGGATCGGGAAAGCGTCACAAAGTTTTGTCTCATAATGGGCTTGCGTTTTTTTTGTCTCTTTTGGTCACGACATTTTATCTATCCCGTCTTTCCTTACAAACATCTCATGGTATCTGGCGGTGTTTTAAGTGCCTTGCAATCTTTTTCTTTTTCAGAACGGTTCATAGAATGTACGCTTTGAGTAGCCGTACCCAAACCCCCAAAGATAGTAGCACTCTCGAGTTTGAATACACGGAAGTCAAAATACCCTGCCTCTTCCTCCATGTGTCGTTGATCAGCCAGTATACTTGTCTTAGCATTATCACTATTTCGATATGTTCTCTCACTACACCACGAACACACTGATCATGATCACATCGGCTTGTGATTATCATATGGGCTCAACTATCATCGTGATATCTCCGTTACCTCACAATATACGATCTCAGTCAACCTCACGATCTTCTTCTTTTCATCCCATCTTTCGCGCGTGTCTGTCACGAAGGCGCAACATGGTCCCATCCCTGAACCACGATCGAGATCCCCCGCCCCGGCCCCAAACACAAATGTCTCGTTGTGGCCATCAGTTCGCATATATCCTGCCATACTTTTTTTCCCGCCCCCAAAACACGCAGCAAAACATGCGACGGTTTCCCTTCTTTCTCCACCGGCACACACACACACACAGCATAGCTTACTTACTGACGGGACAGGGAACATGGGTGCCGGAGGGAAGAAGAAAAAAAGATCATGTCCCGCATCCGTCTTTGCGTTGCGAGCTTTGGGAAGTCTCACGAGTCGTGATGCTTCTTCAAGTGATGAACCCCAACCAAGGCCTGACGTGGATTATGAATGACGCCAGGGGGACCAAACAGAACTGGCAAAGAAGCAGGTAGGTAACCGACTAGGTAGGTACTATGGTAGGTCAGCCGGTCTACCGAGTAAAGCATGAATGATATGATGGGGTGATTGGTTCCACATCTGCGATAGACATCGAAGCCGCACTCCCGGGTCGTCGTGTGGTCTGTATGCTTCATCGAGCAGCTATTACCGCCGTCGCTGCTCTCTCTCTCTCTCTCTCTCTCTCGGCTCTCAGAGTCTGCTGGGGCATGAACGCTTCGGACTTTCTGATCGGGGTTTATCTACGAGGGTCTTTTTTTTCGCAGAATATACACAGCCCGGCCTCCGGTTGGTGCGTCCCCTGCGTCGTCGTCGTTTCTTTCTCTCATCCTCCCTGCCGTCGCTTTCCGCATGGCCATTGCATGAGCGATCACATACCATAGCATGGCTCATGGAAACCGCGGGGGCGACGACAGGGATTGGACAGAGGCAGTGCGCGGAACACGAGCCGAGATCCTCCTCCTCCTCTCCTATGGGATGGTCCAATCTATACACCCCGCGATCTAGGAGGTCCTTGTCTTTCATCCTGTCTTGCCAATGTCCTCGCTTGATAAGATACATCTACGCACGATAGACCATGTGGCCGACGGCTCCCTTGCCTCGCGGCATTCGTCGTCGACGACCCCGCCGCCCCGTCGCAACGGTCTTCAAGACGGTGGGCATGTCTAGGCAAGCGCCTAGACGAGCTTGCCTAGACGAGGTGAAGGGCCATATATATATACGCATCATGGACAGACGCGGCGCTGCCATTGACGAGATCGTACTCGAGACATCGATACCGCCCAGAGACAATTTGCATTCCTTTAGTGGCTCCCCCGGAAACCCTGCAAGACATCACACTCCCCTCCACAACGAAGAGCCTCATCGATTCAACCTCCGTTCTGTGCCCGCCGTGATGGATGTCAGAAGCTGGACCGTCCCGTATTCGTCAAGCGAAGCGCTTACCTTCCCGTGTCCCGCGCGCCCCAGCCGAGTCAAGACACCACACCCACCACACACACACACGCCTTCACGAGGCAGATCTCGACCACTCCTGCTTCGACCTTTTTCGGTTTCAACTCTCCCTCCGGCCCTGATCCCACGCGGTGCGAGCCAACCCCTTACCTTGCGGACTTGCGGGGTTGGATCGAGGCCCGCGTCTCCGCCCCAGGGTTTTCCCATGTTTTCTTCGCCGTTCGTGTCTAAGACAGGCTCGCTTTCACCTGCACCTGACCACGCGGCGAGCACGCATGAGGGGTGTTTCTCCCTCTCCTGACGCGGGAGTGACGACTTCTCGATGCGAAGAAATCTTGGTACGTCTGTGGGCAAACATGTCAGCTTATGTCTCGTGTCGTCATGGGCCCATCACTTACAACGGTGGTGGACGGGAGAGCCAAGCTGATGAGTAAGACATCAGCAGACGGCCGTAGAAGACTGATGCATAAACTGTACGTGGTAGCGATTTCGGCGGGGTCGTCTTTCTGACGAGACCTGCAGTGCCCGGCATCGAGCGAGCAAGCCAAACTCAAGATGCGAGCCGGAGGATGTTGAGTTAATTGGCCCTGAGGCGCAGTGCTCGGCGACCCTGTCGTCGTCTACCGCGCTCTTGGATACGATGGAGCATGGAGTATGCGCGAGATTCTCGACACGTCCAGAATGATGGAAATGCCTGGTCCCAGCCGCTGCAGCGCCCCGTCTTTGCGATGCGAGCTCGCTTCGAGAAGCGATATCCTCCATGTCGGATCTCCCGCCGTCGATCGATCCACCGTGATGGCACCTTGGTCTGCACCTCCCCGTCGGTGAGAAGCAGGATATCGGCATAATCTCATGCCTGTCCATTTGTCGTAAATTGCGTCCAGCTTGCTGATCATGGTCATGCAGTATCGCAGCTCTGAATTTGTCTCGCGGCTTGGCCCCGGCTGCGACCCTGAACTGAAGAGACAACCTACCCCATGAACTCCGCCTAGGTTGTGCGACATTCGAGGGGTCTTCGAGTTGTCTCGCTCGCAATCGATGACCGCTTGAGTCGACGAGATAGCGTACGAATGTCACAAGAACAAAGCTCCCCAGTCTTGTGACCTGAACTATCGAATGCTGTATCACGGCTGAAAACACGAGAACATTTGGCATGGGACTTCTGAGGGGCGAAATGCGGCCCCGGCGACGATGCATGAGAAGCACGCACTGCGGTGTGTATAAGTCTCGAATCCCGGAACCCTACCGAATTGCCCGAAATGCCAACGGCGCGTGCCGCAGGGAAACATCCCGATCGCTTGCCTCAAACCCCGAATTGTGCGCCGTGAAATTAGCAGTTACACGGCGGGCGCGTGAAGGACCAGCCTCCCTTTCGTGCGTAAAGGCAAAGTAACAGAGGCCCAGGCCATTGCTTTCTCGAATGTCATCGTCATCAAACCTACACCATCGCGCTGCTGTGCCGGCGTTCCACGAACACGGCACCCGGGGAACCAACCCACCGGCCGAGGGGCCAAGAGGAAGAACAATCCGAGTCTACGGACTCATTACGCGGTAGGAGACCGAGTAGAATTCATTGTTTATTCTCGTCTTGGACGTCAAGACTCAAATCCAGGCTCCACTCAGAGCTTGCAGCGGTCGCACCACTGCGGTCAGCTGCATTTCGACTGGGGCCTTTTGGCTGCCTCAGCGAAGCAGCGCGACGTAGTTCGTTCCCGCGTCCGAAGACCTGTTGCCCAAGCATAGCGAGAGCCCGGCACATCCGGCGCAAGATGGTGAGCTTTTGCCATTTTCCCTGATTCCAGTCGGAATATCGGCCCAGTCGAAAATATCCAGGTAGGACTCAAGGTTCTGACTGGCGGGTGCCCGCAGACCAGGACCGCGGCTAATTAGCTGCCTTTCGCGTCTGTTGACTTGTCTGAATCCGGGCTGCTTCTGAGGATCACCTTCACGAAAGCTCCTAGCTGATCGACTCTGTATTCAAGATATTGTCAGTAAGGATCCATCGTTCGGTTCGCTCAGGGGAGTTGGTCTCACCATGAAGCAGTCCTTCATTCAGGGAGACGACGGTCGCGCCCAGAACGAGACTAGAATACAATGAAGCAGCAGTAGCGTGCGTTAAGCTGCATTCTCAGCAATGCAACTTGCTTCTGCTTCCGCGAGTCGCTCCCTGCGCGCACTGGATTAGCCTGATAAACTCGCCTCTGGAGTGGACCTGGTGGCAGCGAACAGCTGTAACACGAGCACTAGCAGCATACTCGTCGTGGTGTTCCATCGCAAAAAGGGTCAAGACGCAGCTGCGATTGCGACTCGCATAGTTCTCGGGAACTTAGCTGCGTATAGCTGGCACCGGCACAATCGGCTCGAAATAGAGCATACGGGCCTCTCTAGACCGCTTGATACTAGCTGGGCGCAGTCCGCACTCGGCTCCTTGGTGGCTCTTTGTTGCAGGTGGTTGAACTTGTTAGAGCAATTGCTAGGCGCCGTTGTAATTAGTTGACTGAGACAATCGCGAGTACCTCTATTGGGCGCTGTGAGATCAATGATCCGACTGATCTGTCCCGCCCAGAAGCCGTCTCCGTCTTATTCATCAGGCCCTTTCAAGCGTGAACTGGAGGACTCTGTCTGATACCTGCATAGGTAGCAAGCAGATTGGCGACTTCACCACTTACTTCTCCAGCGAAAGGCGCGATATCTCAGTTACACAGGGCCGCCACTCAATCTGAAAAATTCTCCGCAGCTGAGGAATGAGTCGGTGGCTAAAATGAACCACTCCCATTCACAGGCTGGAAGAACAACTCGTCGATGCGAGTGGACCGGATTAGCGCTCATGAGAGGCCCTGAAACTGTGTCCGGTGT